ATTTTTTCTCGCACCGCGTCAAGGACGGCGCATGCGGCACGTGTTGGGCCACGTGCGGTCCACGAAAGTTGCATAAGCGGTTATGCAACGGAACTTTCCATCGATTCTCGGCACGTGCGCCTCCACGTGTCGGCCACCTTCGTTACATAAGTGCGTTATGTAACGGAATTTTCCATCATCTCAGCGGTTATGCAACCACTCTTATATATACTCGGCCACATCAGTTGGTCATCGCCACTCTGCCACTCTCAGTCCCTTGGACTACACGGCACTCTGCCACGCTCTGTCTCATAGACTTCACGCTAGTACCTACTGTCTCTCTGCAGTTTTGCTACACTCTCTCTCTCTCTCTCTCTCGAGCACGCCTGATTGGATGCTCATCTCTCTCACTCTCTCTCTCACTCTAGAGCACGCCAAATGTGGATGCTCTCCTCTCGTTCTATCTCCTTTTGAGCACGCCAAATGTGGATGCTCCCTTTTCTTTCTCTCTCTTTTCGAGCACGCCAAATATGGATGCTCCCTTTACTTTCTCTCTCTTGTTGAGCACGCCAAATGTGGATGCTCTCTTCTCTCTCTTGCACGTTTGAGTACGCCAGGTACTCCTTTTTTGCTCTCTCTCTTTTCTCCCGCGCGCTCGCTGATGAAACCCGCACCGACTGTCTTATGACGTCATCGCGACTCTGAGAGCGCCCACAATCCCTTTGGTAGATTGGCCTGGTCCTCCGAGTTTCTCTCTCTGGCTGGGGCCGCGACATGGTCCTCCGAGCCGGATACTCTTTTTAGTTATCAGATCCGAAATATCAATATTAGGCTCTTAAATAACTAATACGTACTTAGCGACTAGTTTTTAAGTCTCACTTCTCTCTATTTATTGGGTATTTTTATATTTGCTCATTTTGATCACGATGTCATCTCTGAAAGCTACTCAGCTTCAACTTGAAAAACTTTTCAGTAGAATTCAGCGTTTTCACGACGAAATAAAGGATTTAAAATCTAATAATGCTGAGGACTTTTTGGTTCGCACAGCAAAAATTGACGAACATTTTGCAGACTTCGAAAATTATGCTCAGAAGTTATGGGAATTTTCTATGCAAGACGCCAAATCTGAAGCCGATGAAAAGTTATGTTCAGATTCTTATAAGCAAAAATGCAAAGCATATGAGGATCTTTATTATATTGTTGCACAAGCCGTTCAAAGGTGCAAAAAGGCAGTAAAGTCATCAGAAACAGCTGAATCACTTAGGGCCAGTTCAGAAGTCCGACTTCCGAAAATCGATCTTAAAACTTTCGATGGCACGCGAAAACAATGGCAGGTTTTTTATGAAAATTTTAAGTCATTAATTCATGATAAGAAATCCTTAAGCGGATTGCAAAAACTCACGTACCTAAGTTCAGTTCTTAAGGGTCACGCTGAAAGTTACGTTAAGAACGTTCCAATAACTGAAGCAAATTATGCTATAGTTTGGAAAAATTTGGTCGATCATTATCAAGACATTAGGGCTTTAGGATCTGATCTTTTGGACACGATGCTGACTTACCCTCCTATGCAAACTGCTAATACAACGTCCCTGAATAATTTAATCCATTCATTGAACGATTCAGTTGAAGCTTTGAAAAACTTGAAATTCGAAAAGCTCGATGATTTCATATTGCTCAACATCGGCTTGAAAAAGTTACCATTTCATGTGAGGAGACTTTTTGAAAATGAAGTTAAGGGCGCGGATGTCCCTACTTTTAAGGAATTCATGGATTTTTTACGCAAGCAAGCAAAAATTGCAGAGCTGACACAAACTTCTAACAAGGATGAAAAACCGAAGACCCAGCCGCCGAAAACTAAAGTTTACCTCAACTCAAATTCGAAAAATCGTGACTGCCCAGTTTGCGAAGGATCTCATTCAATTTATGCCTGCGAAGAATTTAAGCGTTTTCCTGTTCACGCCCGAATTGAGCGCGTTAAGTCGCTGAAACGTTGCCGGCGCTGCTTGGGAACGCATAAGGATGAATGTAGGAGTAAATTCGCCTGCAAGGAATGCAACCAAAAAACTCATCATACGCTTCTTCACTCAAATAAAACCAGCTCATCCAATTCTGCATTTACTCAACACGGATCTACTTCTGAAGAAAATTTCGACGATCAAAAATCAAGCAGCATGCTAACTAATCTACAAGCAACGTCAACGGATCATCAAGATTATACCGCTCTACTTGGCACTGCTCTCATCGCGGTGAAAGATATCAATGGGAAATACCAGCACATGCGCGTGATTCTTGATTCCGGTGCTATGTCATCTTTTGTCTCCGCTGATTGCGCCAAACGCCTCGGGTTGCCACTTCTTCCCGATAATACCTGCATTTCAGGCTTGGCTGATAGTCAAGTTAACTCACTAGGAGCTATAGATTGCTTAGTGAAACCTAGGCAAACTGATGAACCAAAATTAATGGTAAGAACTATCGTGATCCCAGTTATCACGGAAAATCTGCCATGCGTCAAGATTTCAGACAAAGTAAGAAAATTTTGGAGCAAGCTGGACTTAGCAGATCCAAGTTTTGATGACACGAATGCCAAAATTGACATGCGTTTGGGCTCGGAAGTTTTCGTACGAATTATATCAAGTCAAAAGAAAATAACTAAGGATTTAGGTCACGCTCTTCAAAGTATTTATGGCTGGGTTCTCATGGGAAAAGTTCCCACGGAAAAAAGGCCCAAAAAGCAGACTACGTTTATCATGACAGAAAATGGCGAAAATTCTTTAAAAGAAGTTTTAACTAAATTTTGGGAAACTGAAGAACCTTGCCACACATCTCCTATCAGTCCAGAAGACGAAAAATGCGAAGCATTATACAAAGAACTGCACTATCGTGAAAGTTCAGGTCAATATGTAGTTCCTCTTTTACTCAAGGTACCGAATCCAGTCTTGACGGGCTCGTATAATCTAGCCAAAAAACGCCTAAACTCAGTGCAAACGAGACTGAAAAAATTGCCGGAAGTTCACAAGAAATATAAGGACTTCATGGAGGAATATGAAAATCTGCAACATATGAGACCTGCTGATGTTCACGGTCAAGCAAAATATTATATTCCTCATCATTTGGTTATCAAGGAAACAAGTTTGACTACAAAATTAAGAGTAGTTTTTGACGCATCTATGCCCACAACAACAGGACTTAGCTTAAATCAAGTGCTTTATACTGGACCGAAATTACAAGCTAGCATTATAGATTTAGTCATCAAATTTCGCTCTCACAGAGTTGCTTTTAAAACGGATTTATGCAAAATGTTCCGACAGATTCTCATACGACCTGAAGATAGGCAATTTCAACACATTTTATGGCAACCTACTGATGACGGCCCTGTAATGGACTACGAATTGCTAACTGTCACTTACGGTACAGGTTCAGCTCCATTTTTGGCAAACAGAACTCTCAAACAATTAGTCCTTGACGAAAATAAAGATTTTTCAGAAGCTGCATGCCGTGTCGTTGATGAGGACACGTATGTTGATGATTCTCTCTCAGGTGCAGACTCAATCCCTGAAGTCATCGAATTGAGGGACGAATTATATCAATTATTGAGCCGAGGTCATTTTTACCCCAGGCAATGGGCAAGTAGCCACCCAGAAGCACTAGCAGGATTACCTGAAGCCGACATCGCATTGCCCTCTGAATCGGTCAGTTTTGATAAATATGCTGAAAACTCACTAGGAGTTTTGGGTCTAAAATGGACACCCATGACGGATACTTTTTCATACAATAAAGTCGAATTTAACTTCAAAACTACGAAAAGAACGATTTTGTCCGATATCGCACGTATTTTTGACCCACTTGGCTGGGTAACCCCTTGTGTTCTACTGGAAAAATTAATTATTCAAGTTTTATGGACCTTAGGCGTGGGTTGGGACGATAAAGTTCCTGATGATATAGCGGACTCTTGGCGGTGTATTTCTAGCCAATTTCACCTTTTAACGGACTTAAAAATTCCAAGACTTATTTTCAACCCTGATGAGAAAACAGTTATGTTGATAGGGTTTTCCGATGCTTCTCAACGAGCATATGCTGCCGCAGTTTACGTGCGAATTCCTTTGAAAACAGGTTTTGATTGCAATTTGGTAGTGGCTAAATCCAAAGTTGGACCCATGAAGCCACAAAGCATCCCACGAATGGAACTAAGTGGAGCTGATTTACTTGCAAAAATTCTGCCCACAGTCGTGAGCGCCGTGAAATCCACAAAATATAAAATCGAGAAAATTATTGCACTGACTGACTCGACAACAGTGCTTTCATGGATTACGACTCATCCTTTCAAATTAAAAACATTTGTTGCAAATCGGGTCGTAAATATCACGGAAAATATTCCTGCAGATTCATGGTTCCATGTGGCAACTGAGGACAACAGTGCTGACATACCCTCTAGAGGCATGCTACCACAACATTTAGTAAATAATACTAAATGGTGGAAAGGGCCCTCGTGGCTCACGCTACCAGAAAGAGAATGGCCTATTTCTGATATTTCGAAAATACGCATTGCAGACGTCCCGGAATTAAAACCAGACGTAAAAATTTTCGTAAACTCAGCTAAACTACCAGATTTGCATGACGTAATTTGCAAGATTTCATCTCTCACGAGATTACAGAGAACTATAGCCTGGGTCATCAGATTTACAGTTAACGCTAGAGGAAAAACAAAACTCACTGGACCTTTAACTGCTGAAGAACTGAAACAATCGCTTTTTAAAATTTTAAAAGAAGTTCAAAATCATGCTATCTCAACGGAAATTGAACTAATAAAAGAACAAAAGTCAGTAAAATACTTTGCTTCACTGAATCCTTTTCTTGACCCCCAAGGTATTCTCAGGGTGGGGGGTAGATTGTCTCACTCTACCTTAGATTACGATACAAAACATCCGGTTATATTACCTTCTAAGGGCCATTTCACCGAATTAATCATAAGACATTTTCATTTAATGCACTTGCATGCCGGTCCGAAACTGTTACAAAGTATCATATCTCATCATTTTTGGATTATTTCAGCGCGGAACATCATATTCGATCAGAGTTACATAAATGTGTTAGATGTTTCAAAAATAAACCTCATAATTTAACGCCTATCATGGGCAATTTGCCCGAATCTAGACTTTGTCCAGGGTGGTGTTTTTTGAAAGTCAGCTCTGATCTAGGTGGGCCTTTTGAAATAAAAGAGAGTAAAAGACGGAATGCACGTTCCTTTAAAACTTACATATGCGTTTTTATATGTATGACCTCAAAGGCCATTCATATTGAACACGTCACGGATTTAACGGCAGAAAGTTTCATTGCCGCTCTCGACCATTTCACCTCCAGGCGCGGTTTATGCCAAGAAATGTACTCCGATAATGGTACAAATTACGTCGGCGCGGAAAGACAGCTAAATGAACTCTATAAAATTTTGGAGGAAGGAGACGAATGGGCCAAAATTAAATCTCAATTACCTGAGCGCCAAATTACATGGCGTCACAGTCCGCCCTCAGGACCTCATTTCAACGGTCTCAGCGAAGCGGCCATAAAAGCTGTTAAGTTCCATTTGCACCGCGTGATTGGTAACGAAAAGTTGACAATGGATCAATTCCTCACTCTTCTCTGCAAAATAGAAGCAATTTTAAATTCTCGGCCTTTGTGCCCCATTTCAGCCGATACGGAAGAGCTCTCCGCTCTAACCCCTGCACATTTTATGATTGGGGCGCCTTTATTAAGTCTTCCAGAATACAACTGGACGCTCACTCCAAGTAACCGCCTCTCTCAATGGCAAGCAATCCAAAAAATGTCGCAACATTTTTGGGAGCGCTGGTCTGCGGAGTATCTGACAACTCTGCAAGCTCGTCAAAAATGGACCGCGGAAACTGATTCCCTCAAAGTTGGGGACATTGTTATTGTTGAAGAGGATAACATGCCGCTGCTTAGCTGGGCTCTTGCCCGTGTGACCGCGCTTCACCCAGGAGCCGATAACGTTCCGCGCGTGGCCACAATCAGAATCAGAAATAAGGACATGCGCAGACCAGTAATTAAGCTCTTCAAGCTGCCGGCGGACTAATTTCACGGTCAGCGTCCCGACCTCAGTGTCATTCTGACTGCTTCAGGTGACACCCCATGCGCTCGCTTGATCTCTTATGCTCGTACTTTCGCTGCTGAAATAAAGTTTCTTTCCACCTTCTGCACGCCAAATGTGGATGCAAAGGTCTTCTTCTCTTTCTCTCTCATCTCTTTCTGCTAACCGGTAAATAACTCTTTTTCTTTATTTTTTCTTGCACGCCAAATGTGGATGCAAGAAAAAATTTTGTCGTCTTTAACTTTTCTCTTCATGTTCTAAAATTTTCTTGTCTTTCTTAACTCTCTCTCTCTTTTTTTGATTTTCATTCTGTCTTTCTCTTTTTTCTCTCTTGCACGCCAAATGTGGATGCAAGAGATTTCTCGTCTTTCTTAAACTCTTTCTCTCTCTTGCACGCCAAATGTGGATGCAAGAGCCTCCTCTTTTTCTAGCTCTCTAAAATTGTCTAACTTCTCTGTCTCTTCCTCTCTTGCACGCCAAATGTGGATGCAAGAGAGCTCACTCTTCCTTTTTTAAATGCAGTTTTGCGTCTAAATCAATCTTTTTCTCTCTTTAGCTTGCACGCCAAATGTGGATGCAAGTCTAATCATATTTTGTCGAATTTTTTTATCTTGTTGTCGGAAAATTTTTTCGGAAATTTTGTCAAATTTTTTTGATCTTGTTGTCGAAACATTTTTTCGGAAATTTTGATTTGACATTTTGAATTTTTTGAACATCTCTTATTCTCGAATTGTTACAATGGAGTGCACTCCCGAATCCATTGCCCGGTTATTATTGAATCAGTGGATCGACGACGCGTTGATTAACCACTATGGGTACTTACTCCAGTGGGTACTTACTCCAGGAGCGTGCACTCTCCAACGATCAATTAAAGATAAAAATCGCAGACACGTTTTTTTTTGAAGCCTTCCAAAGGGACGGCCCTGAGGTTGCCGTCAAATTTTTAAAAGATACTCATTTGCGCTCTACGGATCTGATTTTAGTGCCCTGCAATGTCCACTACAACCATTGGGCATTATCCGTTGTGGATTTAAAGAACCACGTGATAATTGTATTCGATAGCAGGTATAGCGACGAAGATGCGCAGTACATTTTAGAGTGTATGCTAGGGTTCATATCCACTTGTTTTCCGAATTCCTTCGAAATTGACCACTGGAACTGTTATGCTGGTGTTTGCCCACAGCAGAACAACACGGTAGATTGTGGCCCCTTGATGCTAATGTGTATGGAGGCTGCATCTAGGCGGGCACAGATCGTGCTGCCAGATCGCCTCCAACTAGGCTCATCTTTGCGCATCGAAATAAAAAATCAGGTTTTCGACAACAAAGTAGCCCCCTTATCCGAAGGGGCAACTGATCTCCATAGGCCCTCGTGCTTTCTCTGGCCCGCCAGAGACCAATTTACTTTCCTAGCTGATCTCCGAGTTCCGCCTTCTCGATGTTTGTTTGTAGCCGATCAGGTCGTCGATTTGACGACGCCGCCTATGGAGGAAATGTCGCCGCAATCTCTGATCGCATATCTAGAGCGGCCCAGCTCCTCCTCTCTCAGTGCCGTCACGCGTACGGCGCCTGCCCTTGCAAGCCAGGCCACCCGCTCACCAACCGAACCTCGGCCCGTTCCGCGGTCATTGAGCAAACTTCAAAGTTTTGTTGAGCTGCACGACACGAACCCGCCGAAGCATCCTAAGAAGTTCGTGCTCTTTTTTGAGGATGGGTCAAAAAAAAGAATGTACCCCTCCGAGGCTAAGGCGTTCCTTGAGCGGCTAACCTAGACCGTTTTGGTCACTCTGCTTAGCTGTCAGCCTGACAGGATTTTTTTTTTTCTTACTCGTTAATTTTTTTTTGGATGTCTCCCCTCACGGTGGGGGGTAGGCACCCAACTCAAGATATTTATTTTTTGCAATTTGCACAGCCTCTTTAATTTCGTCTTTTCAAACTCAGGTTGATGGTTCAAAGCTCACCAAGTATTTCTCATGTATTGTATTTTGTATATTGTATTGTGTATATTGAAATTTTTGTATCTTATGCTCACTCCAAAGACCTCTATTACTTTTGCAAAGCAAGGCATTTTTCTTTTTATGGGGGGATACGGCCTCTCAGCTTGGGTAGCCAGGTAGGGAGCCGTGGGTTTTTTAAATGCGCTTGCGCACATTTAGGTGGGGGGTATGTCGGGGCGAGGCCCCTTTTTCGTTCTGTGAACTAGCAGTTAGTTCTTTTGGGTTTGAAAAACCCTGATTTTTCGTATCATTTTCATAGCATTTTTTCTTGTATGATTTTTTCTCGCACCGCGTCAAGGACGGCGCATGCGGCACGTGTTGGGCCACGTGCGGTCCACGAAAGTTGCATAAGCGGTTATGCAACGGAACTTTCCATCGATTCTCGGCACGTGCGCCTCCACGTGTCGGCCACCTTCGTTACATAAGTGCGTTATGTAACGGAATTTTCCATCATCTCAGCGGTTATGCAACCACTCTTATATATACTCGGCCACATCAGTTGGTCATCGCCACTCTGCCACTCTCAGTCCCTTGGACTACACGGCACTCTGCCACGCTCTGTCTCATAGACTTCACGCTAGTACCTACTGTCTCTCTGCAGTTTTGCTACACTCTCTCTCTCTCTCCCTCGAGCACGCCTGATTGGATGCTCATCTCTCTCACTCTCTCTCCCCCTCGAGCACGCCTGATTGGATTCTCATCTCTCTCACTCTCTCCCCCTCGAACACGCCAATGGGCCTGTTGCATGCAAGAGATACAGTCGCGCGAATAGACTTTTTAAAGGTTAAATGACACGAAAATTACGATGGTCACATTAAAAAAGTCTCAAATACACTCCTTACTGCGCAATTTGCGTTGTTAGGAACGCGCTTTTTTAAATTTCCCGCGTCTGGGGGCAGTTTTCTAATCACCGGAAACGAGCAAACGGCGGGCTCGGTGATTTCCGAAAGATGCCGAGTCGTTGTTGTTGTTGTTATTTTTTCCTTCAGTTTGTTTACAAACCCAACGTGATCTCTAATACTGTCCATATACGCTTTATGCGGTAACCAAATCGATCAACTTTTAAATATCCAACGCAATCCTTCTACATTTCATTTCACGATATCACGAGCTCCAATTTTTAGGTTATGTTGTCAGTTTTAGTTGACCGGAAATAGCCGCGGGTTGCCGTTAATTGTTTCCGTTAGAAAACTGCCCCCAGACGCGGGAAATTTGAAAAAGCGCGTTCCTAACAACGCAAATTGCGCAGTAAGGAGTGTATTTCAGACTTTTTTAATGTGACCATCGTAATTTTCGTGTCATTTAACCTCTAAAAAGTCTATTCGCACGGCTGTATCTCTTGCATGCAACAGGCCCATTGTGGATGTTCATCTCTCTCTCTCTCTGACTCACTAGAGCACGCCAAATGTGGATGCTCTCCTCTTGTTCTCTCTCACTCTAGAGCACGCCAAATGTGGATGCTCTCCTCTCGTTCTATCTCCTTTTGAGCACGCCAAATGTGGATGCTCCCTTTACTTTCTCTCTCTTGTTGAGCACGCCAAATGTGGATGCTCTCTTCTCTCTCTTGCACGTTTGAGTACGCCAGGTACTCCTTTTTTGCTCTCTCTCTTTTCTCCCGGGCGCTCGCTGATGAAACCCGCACCGACTGTCTTATGACGTCATCGCGACTCTGAGAGCGCCCACAATCCCTTTGGTAGATTGGCCTGGTCCTCCGAGTTTCTCTCTCTGGCTGGGGCCGCGACAATCTCTTTCTCTCTCCTCAGAAACATTTGAATTCCTCAATCAAATGATTTTTTTTGACTTACAAAATTGATCTATGTTACTTCAGGATCTGTGAATAGATTATTCAAGTAGGTATAATACTTTTTTTTCATTTAATTCTACCCTGCCTTAAAAACATTTCTCATTAATTCGTTTCTTTTCTATAGTTTTCATGGTAACTTTATTTTTATTTTTTAAGGGGCAAGGTGCACAATGTCAAAGGATGCGTGTCCATATTTTTGTTAGTGTCCTTGTGCATGCTTTCAAATAGTTCATCACTATTTTAGCAATACAAGGTACCCATGCTATCACTGGATTTTGCCTGATATATAAATTCTAATTTTCTTAAGGATTTCATTTCTTTGGAGGCCTAACCAGTGGAAATTATTTTTAAGTATATTCCTCTGAGACTCATTTCTCAGTTGTTGGGAATCTGAGATCCATTATTTATCCTTTCTTGGCTTCATTTGACTAAAAAAGTATGGCCACGTCTGATCCGATGTGTTAATTTTTGTGTTTATTTTGTAGAGAGGCACGTAGAGCGACGAGAGGAAAGAATGAAGGAATAATGAGTTACTCCTACTAGAAATTTTTCTCACTAAAAAACCGAAAATTCAGTGTTGGGTAGTTTAACTACGGACCAATCATACCAAACCAGTCGTTTTGGAATAGCGTGGCTCTCAAGTCATGTTAAAAAAAACCTAGTTTGTACATTTTACTTGAACAATAAAAATACAGGATCGGATTACTTAGCTCGTTTAAAAAAAGTCCCCCTTAAGCCATTCTAGAACATCAACCGAAAGCCACGTACGTCTTTTCTTGTCAGAATGTACATAGGTTTATGAGGCAAAAAGCCTCAGGCCACTCACGTCCTTTTTGACGAAATAAGTGCATAAATGGCAATGAAGGCATAATTATGTTGTTTCCAAAAGCGTGTCACGCAAGTCATTTTAGAAGTAAGACTGGAGTTCTCTTAAGTCTTTTTTGAAAAAGAAATAAGAATACAGCAACTCAGTATGACTTGATGAATGATCGACAGCTCGGATGAAAGTGGACATCCATGACCTCAAGTCTCTCTTTAAAGGGAAAAATAGCATAAATTTATGAAAATGTTTCTAGAAAAAGAAGGAGAATCAAGACAATGAGAATAAATTTTCCTCTACGCTTTTTTTCTCGCCCACCTGGTGAAAAAATTACAGCCAGAAAAAAGAATCATCACTTTTTCAAAGATTTCTCAGATCTCCCTAAAGGGATGTCACGACCNTAACAGTTAGCGGCAAAAATGTAATTAAGTAATGCTTAAGTTATGCTATAATTGACTTAAGTTAGAAGTTTAGTGTGCTGGGAACCCTGATTATTGGTCTTTGGCACTTAAAAGTCCACAATAGTCAATTAGTTTTGACATTTTCAGAAGTAAACAAACACCGAAGCACAGCAACCTTGCAATGGGTAACTGGGCAGGTGCCACCACTGCCACCTGCCCAGTTACCTTGGGGTGGGTGCCCAGTTACCCCACAAAGGGAAAATTTTCAAGGTAACTGGGCATCAACCCTTTGCAACCGGTATTTTCATCCAATTACGTTGTAATTACTCATGCATTACACAAATACATCATACATGAAGAAGAATTGTCAAAGTTGAATAAAATACTTACTGGGAGTGAGATATGAGGCTCTTTTCGGGACCACCTCTGGCGTTGTTTTGAAAAAAAAGCTGTACAATTTTCGGCACTTCACCATTCACCATAAAATTTTTTTTTGAAGTTATGTTTACATGTTCTAGATGGTTTACGTCATAATGAAGGTATGCCAACAGTGAAAACAATTTTTGCACTAATCTGGTAGAAATACGGAGGGTACTGCCCAGTTACCCCACCGCCCAGTTACCCAACCTCACCTTAACTTACTTTTTTTCAGACTGAACTATTCCAAGATGTTGTATTTCCGCCAACCAGAGTAACATGGAAACCAACCTTTACCGTAGCCAAGTGGTTTAGTGGGAGAGCCAAGCTCTGTCCAAGGATCAGCTTGAAACCAAGTGCAAATACTTTTTGTAAGTTTCATCTTTCCACTACTGCAGCTACTAAGTTCTGGAGTTACAAGTTAATTATTGAATTGAAAATCGTGTGTAAAATTGCATGATCATGAATAAATTAATAATTTTTTTTGTAGGTTGTTTTAGGCTTTATATCCGGGGGATACAGCCCCCTTAGAGGGGATCCGGAATTGGAAAGAAATTTATGTTTCAATTAAGGCTGAGATGAAAGGGTGGGTAGGTATCATAATAGGTCTAGGGATTTAAGTTAGTATTCTGTCGGAGATAAAGGGATAGTAATGAGGTTTTATGAGATGATATACATTGTCTTATATTGGGGTTTTTTGGTGGTTAATTGAAGGCCTGGTTATTTTCTCGTTCTCAGAGGCTCAACTGGAACGACTTATATTGCTAACCTAGGACAGAGCCGTGGAAAGCATATATCACGGAATTCGGCAGATCTCCCCGCCAAGCTAAAAATATAAATATAAGGAGAACAACTAAATAAAACCTCCCAGAGTAAGACCAGAAAACGCCTTCAAACGACTCTGCAGCAACCACACACACGCGGGGCGATAACCCGATAACCGTCGCGTCGGCAGTCTCGGCAGACGGTATATTATACAGAAAATATTAGGAATCGCCGATTTTCGCTGATTTTTAACTTTTATCATCCCGTAGCGAAAAAACTACTCGAAGGATCATGTTGAAATTTGGCATGATGATTCTTCAAGATTCAAAGGCTATACCTTTTGGTGTCTGATGTTTCAAAACTTATTATTAACGGAGATATGACGTTTTAAAGATTATAAAACGCTACCGGACTTCCTTCGTTTTCTAGAACTCCTGGCCTGGATATAGCTGCCGATTCTCATTCGATCATTTCTCAGTTGTTGGGAATCTGAGATCCATTATTTATCCTTTCTTGGCTTCATTTGACTAAAAAAGTATGGCCACGTCTGATCCGATGTGTTAATTTTTGTGTTTATTTTGTAGAGAGGCACGTAGAGCGACGAGAGGAAAGAATGAAGGAATAATGAGTTACTCCTACTAGAAATTTTTCTCACTAAAAAACCGAAAATTTAGTGTTGGGTAGTTTAACTACGGACCAATCATACCAAACCAGTCGTTTTGGAATAGCGTGGCTCTCAAGTCATGTTAAAAAAAAAACCTAGTTTGTACATTTTACTTGAACAATAAAAATACAGGATCGGATTACTTAGCTCGTTTAAAAAAAATCCCCCTTAAGCCATTCTAGAACATCAACCGAAAGCCACGCACGTCTTTTCTTGTCAGAATGTACATAGGTTTATGAGGCAAAAAGCCTCAGGCCACTCACGTCCTTTTTGACGAAATAAGTGCATAAATGGCAATGAAGGCATAATTATGTTGTTTCCAAAAGCGTGTCACGCAAGTCATTTTAGAAGTAAGACTGGAGTTCTCTTAAGTCTTTTTTGAAAAAGAAATAAGAATACAGCAACTCAGTATGACTTGATGAATGATCGACAGCTCGGATGAAAGTGGACATCCATGACCTCAAGTCTCTCTTTAAAGGGAAAAATAGCATACATTTATGAAAATGTTTCTAGAAAAAGAAGGAGAATCAAGACAATGAGAATAAATTTTCCTCTACGATTTTTTTCTCGCCCACCTGGTGAAAAAATTACAGCCAGAAAAAAGAATCATCACTTTTTCAAAGATTTCTCAGATCTCCCTAAAGGGATGTCACGACCTCCCTTACGAAAATCTCGAGACTTCCTCCAGCGATAGTCACTTGAGGAAAGTTGGAGCTGATCTAAACGAGGTCTCGAGTCGAGGGAGGTGCTAAAATTCGGGCCAATATTTTTATTAAAAATGTGCTTTAAAAATGTCAAGAAATTACATTATATTTCATTAATTAGGTACCTTTCAAATGCTCATCAATACCTACCTTATCAGACACTGCAGAAGTTTTCAAATCTCTCTTAAATTGAAAGCGAAATAAATGCATAAAAATCAGACTATTCTGCTCCTTTTATTTGTTTGTGATCATTCATACGAAAAACTTCATGATATCACACCAAAAACACTTCCGTGTAAAAATGACCCTCCAAGTGTTTTTGGTGTGATCCAGATTCCAGGAAATAGTACGAGAGAGAAGATGAGAATAGAGATGAGGAGGGGATAGATGGTATTTACCGTTGGATTTTGTTGTGCGAGAGAAAGATTCCTATTTTTTTGTAGACTATGGGTTCAGGGTTTTGTAATATTTTAATGAGGGTTGTGGGGAATTTCATGTGGTGGGAGAGTTGATATATGACATTGGTTTTGTTTTTGTGGCATTTTAGGAGAATAGGTATGTTCAATTGTTCCGATTTGATTACCTACATTCACATAGGTTGGTTGGGGCTGTTTTAATTTTGAAATGATGGGCCAGGAAATAGACCACAAGACAAGGTACGAATTTAAGCGATCCGATGCATGTTTCTTTACCAGAATTTCACGTAAAACACGATTCACACAACGGAAATTACTGAAACCATTTCCTAACGAAGGTATGAACGTTTTTATTTCAGATTGGTCACGAGGAATTTGAACTGCCCGCTCACAAGAAACTCAAAGCTCTACGAAAGTCAAATCGCGCACTACTGTTAACTCATCAGCTGATATGATTCTAACCTAGTATTATTAAATAAACTCATAGTTGAATGTGGAATGTAGGAGTCGTCCCTTTCTTTCATTAAGTGTTCCACATAATGGTGACCCCGACGTGATCACTAAAAAAAAAGTTCGTTGCGCATATGAAGTAGGCGCTCGCCACCATATCCTGAAAAAAAATAAATACGAAAGTACGAAGTAGACGCTCGTCACCGTACATTCATAGTTCAGCGTTGTGTGCAGTAGACGCTTGTCACCACACTAGCTGAAAAAATAAATAATTTACCGGTAAAAATCAGGTGCAGGTAACGCAGTAGGCGCTAGCCACCGTAAACCACACCACCCAACGTGCCCTCGTGCCGTTATCAGCGCTTTCAAGCCCGTGCTCTCGTGCCGTGGACTTAACCTCCAATGAGCTCTTGTGCCGTGGAGTAAAAACAAGGCCTTGTGACGGCTTTCAGCCGATAATAAATAAATTGACGGCTTTCAGCCGATAATAAATAAAAAGACCTATCTAAGCGAAAGAGCATTTAGGCATCAAAGACCTATCTAAGCGAAAGTGCATTTAGGCAAAAATGACGGCTTTTAGCCGATAATAATAAAAAAAAAAGAAGACCTATCTAAGCGCGAAAGTGCATTTAGGCATAAAAGACCTATCTAAGCGCGAAAGTGCATTTAGGCATAAAAGACCTATCTAAGCGCGAAAGTGCATTTAGGCATAAAAGACCTATCTAAGTCTCAGTACATTTAGGCAAAAGCCCTCGGAGTTTAGAGAAGAAAAGTATAACCTAAGTGAGCAGAAAATAAGGTTATGATCCGAGACTGATATGAGTTATAAGATCGATAATAAAGAAAAGTGAGCAGAGATATAACAATGGAATAAAATGCATAATACTGCAGTAAATATGAAGAAAGGAGGATTTACTAGTCAAGCAAAATCAGCGCAAATGAAGCAGAAATCTTAAAAAAAAAAAAAAAAAGAAGCGACAGAGGAGTTGAAAATTCGAAAGGAAAACATGGAATATCAACTGTCCAGATTTGTGAACTCTATGGAAACAACTTCCGAAACAAGCTCACCCGAGATAAGTAAAATACAAGCCCAGTATACCATTTGTACCACCTTGATTTTTGAATATTTAAAAGTAACAGTTGCATCAAAGCACCTACAGAAAAATCTGTGGAATCCTGAGGAGATAAACTCCTGACTCAACAATGCATGCAATGACTGCATTGGATGACAATGTCCCTAACCCTGACTTTGTGTGTCATTTTCAATTGGCTTTTGTACAGAGGAAAGAATGAGCACAAATGGAGAAATAAAGCGAGTTTAACATAAATGAATTTTTATGTAACTTAGCATTATTGTGGATTACTTATTATGAACTTGACACATTAACACATGGTGAAATAATTCATAATTCCTCAGTAAATTATTATACCATAAATAAAAACCGATTTAATAGCGCTCTACTTAGAAATCGAATTTCCAAAAATTGGAATTTGCTTTTTGGTGCGAAAGGAAATCATCCAAAATGTATGATGTATTTATACTTCTAATTACCCTCTTGAATAGAGCTGAAAGATTTGAGGAATTCATTGTAAGGAAAAGTAAAGACAAGCTGTAAAGTAAAGCTGAAAAACTGCGGAAGACTAATAAATACAGCTGAAATGAGGAGATAAAGGAGAAGTGTTGACAAATGAGTCTGAGTTCAATGGTTTACATAATAAGAATGCAGATCCTTATGGATCGAATGTTCAAAAATGATGAATGTTCGAATTGAGTAAAGCTCAAAAAGTATTAAAAATCCCGTATGGGCGATCAGTAGAATTGAAAGCGATTCTTACCCATAGTTTCAATTTCTAGCTGTGGAGATAAGATCTCTGGATGAGAAAGAACGTGAATAAGATTTTAAACTAAGTGTAGAAGCAAAACGGACTAAATTATCCGATATTATCAGACATATCATGATCTCAAGTTAATATCAATGTGTAAGATAAATAGTTCGTTTTTCTGTTTCTGTTGTTATCTGGTTTCAGGTAACCTACTAACAACTAATAGCAGAAAATAATAGAACTAAACCGAGCCCATCCATATTTTCTGCTGTCCTGTCCGTCCTATGTTCTCCTGATGTCCATCTTGTGTTGTCCATATGTATATCCTACATCTTGTGCATGAAATTCTGTATGAAACCCTGGCTGAATGCTCATAGCCTACTTTGCGGTATTATAACCACTACCATTCTCCGTGACCCACGCTGAACCCCTGGTGAAATGAGAGACGATGATGAAAAGCAACGCAAAAGAAGAAAATAATAAACAAAAGCAGAAAAAGAAGGCCTGTATCTCTTTAACTTTAACTGAGTACTTTAACTTTCACAAACACAAGGAAGCGTGCACCCACACTGCAACAATTTTGTTTCGCGGGAATGATTATTCAAGAAGAATAAAAATGTTATGATTTTGTACCCAAATCAAATGATTAGAGTATAACTCAATTAAATGCTGCTGTCTTTGAGCGGCTCTTCCTGTACTTCAGAACATAAATATTTGAAGTCTGATATGAAAATCCTTGTGGAGGAAATCAACATCTTGGCAGAGACACTTGGTGACGTCATTCTTCAAGGTACCAACTAGTTCGAAAGAGCCCAAGTGGCGGAAGCAGCTCTTGACAGAGTTAGAGATGATATTAGCAGCGCACAAGATGCATATCGACGGTAGAAGACATCGTTGGTTCGTTGGATATAAGGATCAGAGTTAAGTTTTCCTTAACTTCAAACAATCTCTTGCTGAACTTAAGTCAAAACAACGAAGGCCCGAGGAAGAATAATAAAGCATGAAATCTCAGAAGAACACCTGATCATGAATCGAGCCAAAATTGGCAAAAAATTGACGGAGCTTAACAATCAAAATTACCTACCAATCGTGGCATATGGCACTATACACCAGAGGCGTCACTTGCAGAATGCAACTCACATATACCCAACTAAATGGGTGAGCAATGTAACCAAAGCAATCGAAACAATGAGTGAGAATCAAGAACTCTTTTGCTTCAACAAAAATAATGAAGTGAGAGTATTAATGTTATGTTTGCAGCGTATTTGCATAGTTGCATGTTTGCATGTTATGGAGCAGCTGATTGACTTCGCAAAACTTCAAACAATCATACTGTCAATGCTTATACGAATCAAACAAATCAGAAATCGATCATTCGTGCACTGTACTCTTTTTCCCTTGCCTATGTTTTTATCCAATGGTTTTTCATATGGTTAAGGTTTTTAATGAGGCAGTGCTTCCTGTTGATAATAAAGTTCATAAAAAGAAAATGATCCCGAAGTCCAATTCAAAGTCTCATTTTGCTTGAAGTATTGAGAAGAATACAGCAAATACATCAAATTTTTAATTGTCAACAGATGTAACGACAACTGGAATTGTCTACTTTTTAATGAAATTTCAATTTGACCCTAAAGAACCTCCTTGCGTAACGGTAGCGCTTCTGACTCCTCTCGAAAGTGCTTACAAGTTCCTGCAGACAAGAAGAATCAATACGGCGTTTACCCTAGCGACGTGGCTTCAAGATGACAGCCAAGTGAAAAATTAGGATGCACTATTTTATACACTTTATTACGAAAAAAATCAAGAACTAATAGATTAAAGTTTAAAATTCGTTAATTATTATTACAAAATAATGTCGTAATTAACATAATGCTAATGTCCTAATGTAATGTGTTCAATTGAGGGAACCTCAAGGGGGGGAGTATGTTAACTCATCAGCTGATATGATTCTAACCTAGTATTATTAAATAAACTCATAGTTGAATGTGGAATGTAGGAGTCGTCCCTTTCTTTCATTAAGTGTTCCACAACTACAACGGTTTCAGCAATCTTCTCAATCTAGCAATGTTTGTTTCCACCATGTGTTGTTTAAACTATAAGCAATTTGCTATAACTAAGCCAAAGAGTCAAGATTGAGGTTGCCAGATTTTTATATCGCAGAGACTGTCGTGATGACGTTTAGCGCGCGATGTGAATCACGTAGAGCATTGAGTTATTCATGAGCGGGTGGTTTGAATTTACGCATCAAGAATCATTAAATATCTTCGTAAGGAGATGATTTTGGTCATTTTCGTTGTACGCATCGTGTTTTACGTAAAATTTTGGTTAAGAAGCATGTATCAGAATGCTGAAATTCGTACCTTGTCTAGTAGTCCATTGCCATGGCCAATTCTAATTTTTGTGATTTTAATCATGGTTGATTTGCTCCACTTTAGATTTTGAAACCAGGGTTTTGTTTTAATTTTAGGTTGAATTTGGTGAAGTCTTTTTCCTTTGAACTTAGATGAATGGTCCCAGTCTTTCTGCCAATCTAAGAATACCGAATTCTTTTTTGCATCGGGGGAGGAGGTTATTGAAGGGAATGGGGGCGTTTGTTTTATCTACAGCTAATTCTGAGTTATTGCATAATTTATCCACTTTTTCGTTGCCCGCAATGCCAATATGTGAGGGGATCCATAAGAATTTTACTTTAGTTTCTGCGTGATTTAGGGTTTGGAGTTCTTCAAGTATATTGATGATTATATAGTTATTAGGGAAATTGTAAGGGTTTGATATTGCGTCGGCACAGCTTTTAGAATCAGTAATTATTAGGAATTCATTTTTTATTTGAGTTGTTTTTATGTAATTTATAGATTATATTATGACAAAAGCTCCTGCACTAAAGCTGTCGAAGGGGGTGGGAAGTTGAAAAATCTTATGGGTGTTTTCATGAAGGAGGGCGCATGTTACAGTGCCTTCATTGTGAGCTTTTCATCCATCTGTAAAGATTTTTTCGTAATTTTTGAAATATTAGTTTCAAGGATTCCTTTAAAATTGCTTATAATACAAAAATGCCACCATAATGCCATACAATACACGGTGTGCCTGACAGGGTTAAACATTTTTTATATGTCCGAATCGAAAATTCTTTATATTTTTAATTAAATAGTTTTGAGAAACACGGTTGAGGTGAGTTCAGCGTGGGCAAAGAAATCAGGCCTGTCGACAGAACGCCACTGGTTTCGCCTTTATCAGAGCCTATCATCAGCGAAACCAGTGGCATACCATTGACAGGCCTGATTTCTTTTCCCTCACTGAACTCTCCTCAACCGACACCCTTGAAAGTAAAGCAGCGCTCTATCAAAAGATCAAAACATGCCTAGAAGAAGATAAAAAATATTGCTAAACAATATGCAGCTAAAAAGAAATTTAACTCTCGGCTTGTATCTAATGTGTCCCAGTTCTTAGCTAGCAAATCATGCCAGTACAGTTTGCTGGATAGCTTAATGTTGAACAAATTGTAAATATGTAATTCACGCAAGTTAAGCGTCTAACTATTATCTCATGTTTTCTGCATTATTACAGATTTGCAAAAGTTCACCGGGAGAAGTTTTAGAGCGGATTGAAACCATGATGGTCTTATTTACATTTCGTGACACTTGGGATCCAGTGAATAAGCTTTTCAACTTCGGAGGCGTATAACTCTTTTATTGCGAGTCTCTATTTTTGCTTATGAGTGGAACTATTCCAGCAGGTAAGTGAAAATCCAACACTGGCATATAAACACTAATTGTATCGAAAATTAAAAATCAAATATACATAGTTAATAAAAGTATTATCAAAGAAAGTGCTTAAAATATAACAAATAAAAAAAAAAAAACTCTGACATCTGCTACAAACAATGAAAATGAGGAAAATTGGGCAGTAAAGCTTTTACTGCGCTTTCTGACCCACTCTCCTATCCACTGCTGGAGATTTGACTAGCAAATTCAACTGTCCGTCAGTTTTGCAACTCCTCCTTAAAATTTGAGGAAACTTCTCAGAAAAATTAGAAAAAAATTGGCCGCAAGCAAGTGTATTTTCGTAAGCACATTACGCTCTAAGAGTGATTTTATTTTGCTTGTCATAGCTTGAGCATCATCAAACAACTCATTTGGCATCTTCGAACATTATTGTGGATTTTACACTATTTGTGAAATTAGGTTTTAATTAGTAAATTCAAGTTGGTCGCAGTGTGAAGTGCCACAAGGATTTTTCAAACGAAAAGGAAAATTTGTATTCAGATTTTATTATCACTGGCAGTTGGCATTATTGATAAGCATTAAGTGTTGGATTTTTTCAGTTGTCATCAATATTCATGAAATTTATACAATTTTCCATCCTCTTATTCTAGGTATGGTCTATGGTTACTAGGATGTTCACATGATTCAGGCAGATGTCACGCTACGATGTTCTTCGGTCTTTTACTTCAATTTCAGACCATCCTTGAGGAGTTTGACACTCAAGTTGGACTTAGAATCTTATATAATATTGTGAGTTTTTTTTGGTTTTGTTCTATAAATTTCACTCTGCATAGTAATATAGTTTTAATTGTTCCTTAAAATTTTTACCTCTACATAATTTGCGAATAATTAAATAAGTAACTGGATAAATAATTAGATAAAGAATTGATGTAGTTCGTCTTAAGTAGAAGTTTTCAATAATGGAAAGGAAAAATTTGAAATGAATACAATTTTTAATGTAAAAATTAATTAATATTCAAGCACCTGCGACTTGTTCACATCAAATTGAGTGCACTAGTAATTTAAGTAATGTTTTCTAGAATTCGAATTCTACTTCTAGACCTACGTAATAAAAATTCTAAACTAACTAACTAACTAACCAACCAACCACTGCAATGGAAACCAGACGTTTTTAAAAAATGAAGTTTCTTCGTTAAGAGAATGCTTAAGAAAGTGAAATTCCTTTGAGTTTTAAGGGGAACACCCACAAAAAAAGTCACCCTCCTACTTGTTTATGGCAAATTTAGTCTTGATGTAATTTCTTATTTTTGCAGATGAGTATGTTACAACTCTTATCAAACGAAGGTGATACAGTCAAAGTGTATGTCATGCGTGCGTCGCTCTGAAACGTTACTTACAGGCCCCTCCCTTTTTTTTAAGGTGCACAAACTCCAACTAGGTGAAATAGGACTGCCAAGTGATAAGGTAGGCATTTTTTAACGAATTAGCAGGCTAAATTTGTGTGGACTGGTCATGATGCAACATATAAAGCAAATTACGCTGTAAGAGTGATTTTATTTTGCTTGTCGTAGCTTGAGCATCATCAAACAACTCATTTGGCATCTTCTAACATTATTGTGGATTTTACACTATTTGTGAAATTAGGTTTTGGCATCACTTCTTTTTTCCTCTGATAATCAAAGTTACTAAATGTGGATAGTAATAGTAACTGAAGAAAGCAAAAGCTTTGAACTGTTCTGAAGATGTTTGATTGCCTTATGTTTTTGTTTAATTATATTTTCAGTGAGAACAACCCGCAACAACAAACCTCAAAAAATTTCTTTATATGATACCGATGCATGTATGCAGGACACGTTTGCCAAAACAGTGCCAAAAACAAATGGAATATCACAGAAAGACAGTAAGGGTATGGCTCATTTTCTTTTCTTCAAAACGTGCCTTTCCCCCCTCAAAACTGACGTATCGTAATTCCTATTCCGTTCTAAAACTCAAAGCTCAATGCTCAAAAATTGAGATCTCTGTTTTGACCAGCATCTTTTGGAAGTCCCTCAACCAGGCATTGCAGCAACTGGTGTCTCAATATACTTTTACTACTTAGCATACTGTGAGGACGCCAGGGAAAGAGTGTGCTTATTGCCCAAGGAAATTTTTCATGAAGTTGTTATGTAATGCCTTATTTATGCCCAGCTTGTTGGTTGATTGATCAGTTTCTCCACACCTTCCTCCTTGCAGTCACAAAGACTTCTGATCACTATCTTAAAAGACAACCTTGATTGCCCTCATTGATGTAGATGTCTTAAGGTCTGTAAAACATCATGGAGTAGTAATTTCAAGTTGGTCGTAGTGTGAACCCTGGAAACAATTTGATTCCTTTTTCTGTCTCTGGAAGAATACTTGGAGCCTTCTTAAAAAATCTAGAATTCTTGAAGAACCATATTTTTCTGTCTCTTCAAACATTCTTGCGGAATTCTTGGCTCATGCCACGCTCCAACCCGGGACGGCCGCGAGACCCGGATTTGGTCCCGCTTTGATGAGGGTCGGTTCCGCTTTAATTAGGGTCGGCGAAGGGTCGGCGCAGCGCTGAGTTAGTTGTGTTGCATAACTGTTGTGTTGCAGGTTGACTCACCTTTCGAACCTTTTCATCGTTGGCCATACAATCTGACCAATTCCACACCTTAATAGTTCTTCCTCCGATCCGTGCGAGTGCGCCACTAGTGCGCACCGCACGTCCTGCGATACTGCGTCGTCCTAAGCGAAAATAGCTACGTTGATTTCGGCACGCACTTCGCGATTATCCATGCTCTGGCGTACTTCCATAGAAGTCTGATTAGGAGATCGTTCTTCATGATACACATTTTTTTTGTTGGCTTTTTTATGCAAACTTACTTACACGTCCCTCATAATGTCTGATTGCGAATCGACGTTTACCTAGGCGCAGCAAAGTAGGTACATGTCCACCCCCAGACTCTGCTGGATTAAATGAGAATAAATTGAGGAAACGTATTCGCGAGTGATTGAAAAATAAACATATAGAAATATAAATAAATGAATGTAAAGAGTGATAAATTAATTAATGAAAACAATAATCAAACCAAAAATGTGGTGATACACTTTCCCTAGGGAAAGTGACGCGTTAACACCATGTGCACATTAGAAACGCGAAAAAATATGTTAGAAACCGAAAAATACGAAGTTCAAAAAGCGCAACTTTTCCGCAAACTTAAACGCCCCGGTTTTTGGCCGAAACGAATGATGTCATCCGGCACCAATCAGAAGCGAGCACGGGTTCGTACGACTCCTGTCAAATGGCTGTTTACTAACTATTGACATGCCGCTCTTACAGCGCTTCCGTGCTCCGTGACACCCAACCGCCACAGATAGCGATCTTGCCAAAGCTCCTCCGGCAAATCGCACCTCCTCATTTCCTACGTTATTCCATCAATCCAAGATTTGACTGGGCGTCCTCTTTTCTTTCTACTCCTCGTATATGAAAACAATAATAGGAAAGTCGAAACTGTATCTTCAGAATCGGAAAAATCCAATCTCATTCATGATATTCGCAGTTAACAAACCACAATTTCACTTTGGAGTGCGGTTTATTTTAATAAACATCGATGGAAAATGAGAGGAGACAGCGATATGACTGCCGCAGTGCATCACTTCCATCATTTTCAATTGATTTGAAATTCTCTCGAGTCTTTGGACTTTTTAAAAGAGGGCTTGTCCGAAATTTTGGCTCAAATAATACGCAATAAATCACCACGTAATCTACTTACCTGGTATTTTCAGAATATTCGATAAAAAACACAAGGCTTAGCGACCCATTTACATTTAAGGTTATTTTTAAGCGTGCCAGTAGGTCTCGCTTTTTGAAATCACTCGGATGCACCATAGTACAGCACACCGATCAACCAATGCTATATAGCGGGTCATCCAAATATTTTTTTCCACGGACCCGTTTTTTTGTATTTGAACCGTTATACTGTCAATCCCTGATATGATCTTTTACCAAAAAATCGAATGAATTGCTGATTGGAAACCCTTTAGAACATTTTCCTGTGAATCCCGAATTATTTCATTTGACAGAAACTTCATATAAGCTTTTCTACGCTCGGAGGACTCAACTTTAGAAGCTCCTTTCCCGCCAAAACTTTTTGGCCAATGAGCGTCTTGCGCTGTAAGTGCAATCTGTGATGAGCCTCGTGACTCATTAGACCATGTCCTAACCGTGGCCCATACAGAAAACTTACACCACTGCAGTGAAGTATCGGTCGGTCGGATATCAGTGTGGGCCTGTGGGGTTTCGAGCACGAGGACAAAAGCCGCCGCTCGCCCCAGTCGACCATTATCTTTCACGCTCGATTAACTAATCACCGTGACGCCAGAATCCACTAAATTTTAACAAAAATTGTTTTCCGTCTTTTTGGCGAGTGCTTCCTTACTTTCCGTTAAAATACAAATAAAAAGAGACCTCATTTGTAAAAATTGGCCGAATAGGAGAGAAGTTACAATTAGAAATCCAAAGAGATTAAGTAGTGTAACGCGATTTCGATGCACGGCAGTTCGCCCAAATCGCGGTCGTGCGTAAATGCCGCATATCTGCTTAAAATCAAGATAATTGGACGGATCTTCCAAATTAATTTACATTCAACGTTCATGAATTAATATTTTCTCCCAAATGTAGCAAAAAACACCAATTGATACAAATAGCAAAGACGTGAAAATAGTAGGTATGTGTCCAACATTTCAGTTATTCGGCACGCTTTTTCCAACACACTCATGTTGGATTTTTCTTCTTGTTTTAATTTCTTTCGAAAACGATTAGGAAATAAAATAAACGGCCCCAGATATGGGAGTAGAAAATGAATGAAAATAAGATTCATTCCGTTCTAGGCAAACTTTTCAAGTTAGGCGGTACTTAGGAATGATCGGAATTTTGATATTATTAATGTTTTAATGTATTTTCTGAAGGAAGTGTAGTGAAGTTTATGGTACTTGTCGGAAAAATGGACGGATTATTTCTGAAAAATTTGCTTGAATCTACAAAAGGAAACATTTAAATCCTTTACAAGTGATTTTACTTACAAAGTGGACAGATGGTTTAGAAAACGACGTTAGAAGGAAGAGTATTGCCGCCTTATTACTTCCAGTAAAGAAAAACTGTGTCACATGCTAAATGCTAATTGGTTGCACCGCATTTTTCCTCGTCTTAAGGACCCCCTCCCTTCAAAACCTAGTATGGGATCTATATAAATAAACGAGATGTCGAAAGAATTATTGACATGATTGATTATAATTTTTTACTATGAACTTCCGACAAAATTTTGATGAATATTTCTGCTGGGAATTCCACTTTTCCCGTGAATATCTCTTTACCATTCATTCCATTTCTCACCATTGAATGCCTCGCGTTTTTAAGAATTGTTCCTTTTTTTGCAGACCCGTATTGCTAAGCAGGAAATTATTTAAAAAACCCACAACAGGAGCATTACCGCAAGGAAATATATGTTTGTTGAGTTTGTTTTCATTCATGTGGGTACACAAACATAGGCATTTATCAAGTTTTAGAAACTTCAAAATGGGCGTACTCATGCTAAAACGAACATAATAAGTACCTAAATAATTATTGATAATAATTATCATCTAAGCATTCTCAAGAGGAATCTGACTGTCGAAATCGCAATTGGTACCTATTTTTAAAATCGGATCCATTTGTGCCCAGGGAAATTTTAAGACGATCAAACACACTCAGGCATACTTGTGTTTGTCTTCTAATTTTGATGCCTCTGAACCTCTGGCAGTTAGGCCCGTAGCAGCCAGGGAACACGCGGGAGTGAGAAGTTGCCATCATGCCTGGAAATCCTCTTCGTCCCTTCGTGTCTCTACCTCACCCTGGCTCTGGTCATTTTAGCGGCAGTTCATATTAAAGGAACTAGAAAATTGATTTGTGCATGCCTTGTCAGTCGGTGAGGGACCGAAACTCGTCTTCTTCGCCTGCCCGCGCTCCCGCAATACGCCGCGCTTCCTCCTCTAGCATGTCTCCTTCTCTTTTTCTGTCGTGCGTAGGTCAAGGACCTTTAACAATATTCGCCCTCTGTCGAAAACTCCGAAAAACGCCGCGTAAACCTTCAAACGTTGCCAAATATTTCCTGTTTCAACACACCTGTAGTAGCCCATGAGGGATGATCCCTGAATATCAGACCAGAAAACGTTGAAACCATGCTAATGGTTGAGCACGTATGTACCTCAACGGCATCCGATATTGTCAGAGCACAAGGCTATTGTTTACGCTAATGTCGACTTTCTACCTCTGTCCTCAAGTCAAAATTCTAACTAGAAAGCACTTCACAAGAGACCAATTTTTTTTTAAATTTTGTCTCAATCTCAATTTCTATGCCATGATTGACATGACTGCATTCCTCGTAAAATTCTGAGCTAATTGATGTGTAATTTTAATTAAAGGTCGTTTTCTCCTCTTTATATTTTCGTTAGCGAAACAGGTAAGGTCATGGGTCAGTAATTGTTATTTTCCTTCTGCTTGACCGATTTTTACGCATTGGGTCTCATTTTAATCGTGTTTTAACGGAGTGTAAAGGAACACTTGTTAAATACATGGAAATAAAATTTTAAGAAGAATTAGTTCATTTTGGTAGGATGGTGAAATGGGAAATTAGGCGCAAGTAATAAGGTTCTATTGTGGCTCGGCGCGGCATTGTATTGCGCGAGATTAAGGCGTAGGCTGGAGTATCGCTGCTTCTAGCGTTTGCAAGAAATACCCGCGGATCAAAAATCATATTTCATGGGTCCTATTATATTTCATGTCAGCTTACGAATATTTTGC